AATATAATATAATATAATCTAATCTAATATAATCTAATATAATATAATATAAAATAATATAATAATCTAGTCTAATGTAATGTAATATAATACAGTATAATATAATACAATACAATCTAATCTAATCTAATAATAATCTAATCTAATAATAATCTAATCTAATCTAATCTATAATCTTTGACTACCTGTATTCCGTTCTGCCTCCCAACTCTTTCTCTTCCCTTTGCTGCAGGCTCAAGATTTCTACGTAGAGATGAAGTGGGAATTCACCAGTTGGGGTACGTTTGCGTGCCGAAAGAAAGCAACCAAAGTCCCGGTTGGGAATGGGCTGTCATCTGTCTGACCCCCCCCCCCTTGAAAAAACCACGCCCCTTAAGAAAAATACCCCCCCACCCCCCCCGGGGCATTTGCAGGATTGGAAAAAGTCAAGATAATCCCAAGTGTGCAAACCCTTCGCGCCTGCACATTGTTGAACGGGTGGAGCTCCCATTCCACAGTCATGTCGGCCATCTTGACTTTTTTGACCTCACCTCCTCCTTCCAGGTGTCCCTACTTTCCCCGGGCAGAGAACATGGCTGCCCAGAGTAGCGGAAGGACCTAATCCCAGTGGCAGGGTAAATTTAACAAGCCACCCAGAGTCTCTTTGACACTGAGATGTATATATATATATATATACATATAGAATGAATGAATGAGCTGGAAGGGACCTTGGAGGTCTTCTAGTCCAGCCCCCTGCTCAAGCAGGAGAACCTATACTATTTCAGATAAGTGACTGTCCAATCTCTTCTTAAAAGCCTCCAATGATGGAGTGCCCATGATTTCTGGTGGCAAGCTGTTCCACTGGTTAATTAGTCCTCACTGTTGTTAGGAAGTTTCTACTTAATTTCCTGTCATTTCCTGACAGAAGGAACAATTAACCAGTGGAACTGTTTGCCTCCAGAAGTTGTGAATGCTCCAACAAAATCTTTTTTAAAAAAGATGTTGGATAACCATTTGTCTGAAGTGGTGTGGGGTTTCCTGCCTAGGCAGGGGGTTGGACTAGAAGACCTCCAAGGTCCCTTCCAACTCTCTGTTCTTTCTTTCTTTGTCTTTCTTTTTCTTCTTTCTTTTTCTTTCTTTTTCTTTCTTCATCTTTTTTTCCTTCCATCTTTCCATCTTTTTCTTTCTTTTTCTTTCTCTTTCCATCTTTTCTTTCTTTCTCACCTTTTCTTCCCTTCCTACCTTCTTTGTGTTTCTTCTTTCTTTGTCTCTTCTTTCTTTCTTATCTCTTTTTCTTTCTTTCTCTTTCTCTTTCCATCTCTTTTCTTCCTTCTTTCCTTCCTTCCTTCTTTCCTTTCTTTCTTTTTCTTGCCTTTTCTCCCCTTCCTTCCTTCTTTGTCATTCTTTTTCTTCTTTCTTTGTCTCTTCTTTCTTATCTCCTTTTCTCTTTCTCTTTCCATCTTTTCTTTCTTTCTTTCTTTCTTTCTTTCTTTCTTTCTTTCTTTCTTTCTTTCTTTCTTTCTTTCTTTCTTTCTTTCTTTCTTTCTTTCTTTCCTTTTCCTTCCTTCCTTCCTTCATACTTCCTTCCTTCTTCCTTCCTTTCTCCCTCCCTCCCTCTTTCTTTGTCTTTGTCTTTCTTCTTCCTTTCTTTGTCTCTCTTTCTTAACTCTTTTCTTTCTCTTTCCTTCCTTCCATCTTTCCACCCCTTTGTCTTTCTTTCTCTTTCCATCTTTCTCTTTCTTTTCTCTTGCGCTTTTCTCTTCTTTATCCTCTCCGCTGATGGGCGCGGCAGAGGCTCAGCTGGTGTGCGGAAAGCTGAGCATGCGTGTGTTAGGTGCCCCCCGTGCGCGCACGCACAATCATTGGGGGAGGCCATTTTCACACTCCCAGAGGCCCAGGGGAGGCCTCTGGACCCCCGGGAGGGCAAAAACCCCCTCCCCTGAGCTCTGGAAGCCCACCGGAAGGTGGAAACAGGAAGTTCTGGTAGGCCATGTCCACCCAGCAACCGGGCAGCGAACCCTGCCTTTGATCATCTTAGTCACTTTTTGAACTTTCTCCAAAGTCTCAACATCTGTCTTGTAGTATGTATGGATTGCGACTCCCCCCCCCCCCCGTGGCGCTCTGCTTTTTTTCGCAGTTCCCTTGGTCTCCAAGATTTGCCCCAGCGACACGTACAAGGTGTGGAAGTGTGGCCAGAACCTGCGGGTGGACACCACGTTGCTGGGCTTCGACCACATGACGTGGCAGCGCGGGAACCACAGCTTCATCTTCCGGGGCCAAGGTAGGTGGAAAGGACTTGGGTGGCCCCCTTTGAAATTCACAACCCTCTTTGGTGGCTCACGGAAGCACCCGTGTTTTCTTTCTCGTGAGAGAAAAAAACGTTTTCCTTCCGTTCTACCCCCACCAAAAAAGGGTGCCGTTGCTTTAAGAAGCTCATTAAAATAATCTTGCGTGCCAACAGCTTCGGCTGCCTAGCAATTATCTGAAGCATTTAAGGAATGCACTGCTTTGCCCCCCCCCCCACTCCCTTTCTGCTGGCCACTAAAAAGACCAAAGAAGTATTTTTTTTTGTTGACGTTGTCCCTCGATGTGAGTGACATCGAGTTGGCCGTGCCCATGCCAGTCACATAACCACCCAAGCCACGCCTACCCAGCTGGTCATTAGGTCAGAGAACCGGTTGTTAAATTATTTGGGGGTGAGCTTATGAGATGAGGCTGCTTTCAATATTAGCGCCAATCTGTGATGACCCGGAGCATGGCACAAAAGTAACAAAATCAAGTAGATAAATTCCCTTGAATGCCTCCAATTTGGCCCCCAATGTCCAATTATCCTTGGCTGGAGATCAAACTCTTCCAAAAACAGTCTACGACGGGCAGAAATGCAGTCTGAACCCAAAGTAAAGATAATTAGAAATAAAAAAAAACAACACAAACCACGCTGAAGTCATTAACACGGCAGGCCAGGATGATAAATTGCAGACTTTCAAAGGATAATGCAGCACCCACAGTTGGGAGGACGCCAAAACCCAGATAAACCCAGACAAAGATAATGCACGCTTTGCTTCCAGAAACTCTGCCATGCGCAGTTTGCCCTTTTAAACAGTCTTCCCATCTGCAGCCCATGAAGGGGATCAGGACCCTTTCCTTTCCCGTAAGCCATGTTGCTCCCTTCTCCGTTTTTCCCTGCGTGCCCTAGGATGAAGAGGGGATGGCCCTGGGTCTTCCTCTGAATGCCCAGCCGGACGGTGCCCTTCCCCAGTTTCTCCCACAGCCACCGGAGCCACACTCCCACTCCCACTGTCAGCTGCTCAACATCCCCCTCCGAATCGGACTCCAACCAGGGCATGACACAACGAGGTGATGCTTCTGGGGAAGGGTCTCTATTCAAACAGGTAACCCCCTCTCTTTCCTCCCCCTCCTGGCCTAGATACGAGCGCGGTGTTCATGGAGGTGGATCACAACCGGCAGGTGGTTTACTCCGAAACGCTGGCACTGGCTGCCCACGACCAGGAGACCATCCTGGCGGCCATGCAGCCCACCGAGGAGCAGGTGATGGGGCGCCTGATGGCCCCCGTGGTCGCCACGCATCTGGACATGCGCAATATTGCCTTCGAGAGGTAGGGGGACAGTGCGCGGGAGGTGCCCGCAGCTTGTCCCGGACGGAGGGTTCAAAACAGCGGGCATGGTGGCATCGACCGAGGGCCCTGGGGTATGGGTGGTGGCGGTGGGTGTCTCAAAAACAGTCAAGGGGACAGGGGTGCAATTTATACACGTGGGGCAGCCCCCCACTTTCCTGGACTGAAGTGTTGGAAGACCTGGCTTTGCTGACTAACTTGAGGTTCACAGAAGGACACCCAGCCTGGTGATTGAAGTAATGATACCACCTAGGTGGGCAAGGAAAACCAGCAAACTAAGAGAGCACCAAGGACCCCACAGTCCTCCTCTTCCTCTTCTTCTTCCTCCTCCTCTTCCTTCCTCCTCCTCTTCCTCCTCCTCTTCTTTCCCCTCTTCTTCCTCTTCCTCTCCTCCTCTTCTTCCTCTTTCTCCCCTCCTCTTCCTCCTCTTGCTCCCCCTCTTGCTCCCCCTCTTCCTCCCCTTCCTCCCCCTCCTCCTCTTCCTCCCCCTCCTTCTCTTCCTCCTCCTCCTCTTGCTCCTCCTCTTCCTCTCTACAAACACCTAGCATTGATGAATTCTTAATTGTTAAATGATTTGCCCCATTTCTTCCTTCCTCCTCCTCTTCCTCTTTCTCCCCTCCTCTTCCTCCCCCTCTTGCTCCTCTTCCTCCCCCTCCCCCTCTTCCTCCCTCTCCTTCTCTTCCTCCTCCCCCTCCCCCTCCCCCTCTTCCTCCTCCTCTTCCTCTCTACAAACACCTAGCATTAATTAATTGTTAAATGATTTGCCCCATTTCTTCCTTCCTCCTCCTCTTCCTCTTTCTCCCCTCCTCTTCCTCCTCTTGCTCCTCCTCTTCCTCCCCCTCCTCCTCTTCCTCCCCCTCCTTCTCTTCCTCCTCCTCCTCCTCCCCCTCTTCCTCCTCCTCTTCCTCTCTACAAACACCTAGCATTGATGAATTGTTAATTGTTAAATGATTCGCCCCATTTTACATCCTTTTTTGTCACCGTTGTTAAGTGAGTCCTGCAGTCATTAAAGAAATCTGGCTTCCCCCCCCCCCTTCCCCGCTTCCCTTGACTTTGTTTGCTGGAAGCTGCCTGGGAAGTTTTTACAAATGGGGACAGTGCAACCCTCATCAATACAAGTCAGTTGCCAGGCCTCTGAATTTTGATCACATGACCACGTGGGGGGGCGGGGCGGGAGGAATGCCGCCATGGCCGCCAATGTGCCACTGATCCTAAATCACTTTCTTCAGGGCTAGTTGTAACTTGGAACGATCACTAAAAAAAGTGGTCGTGTTGTGGTCCGTTGGTGGCCCGCAGCAGAGTCGGACAGTGGGAGGAACATGGCCCAGTCCGGGAGTCTGGGGAGGGCTCGGACGAGGGTCCTGCGTCCGACACAGAGATGGAACCAGGGCCATCTGGGAGTTATGTGCTGATTCCGGAGCCTCCAGAATCTGACAGCAGCGAGGCAGAGGAACAGCGGGAGCCTGTTCCCAGTGTGCACATGCGCAGAGCTGCCAGAAGGCAGGAACAGTTAAGACAAAAGGGATGATTCGGGAGTAAGGCTTGGAGGTGATTGGCCCCTCCCATAAGTCATAAAGGAGGAGCAAAGGGACAGGAGCCCTTTGCAGGAAGCAACTTCGTTCGTACTGGTCAGTTGAAGCTCTGTGTTGACTTTGTGCTCCATTTTGGCCTCTAATAGGCAATTTAGTCACTAAACTAATAGGCAATTTAGTCATTGGCAGCATTTCAAGGGAGATAAAGGTGGGTGCTTATCAGCCTTATCCCGAAGGAATGTGGCAGACTTCCGTGGGACTATTTACAAACTGTTTGGGACTCATTATGGGCTGGGAATGCCTATAATTCACAGCCGTTGAAATAATTTTAAAAAATGGGTTTTGGGAACAGCGTGTGATGGTTACTGTCTCAGGAAGCCTTGGTCAGAACAGGTCATAAGTCGAGGAGTAACTGTAATTCTCCCAGTGATCCCTTCTCTCTCTCTCTCTCTCTCTCTCTCTCTCTCTCTCTCTGCCAGGAACAAGACGGGTATTTTAGGCTGGAGGAGTGAAAAGACGGAGGTGGTGAACGGGTACGAAGCCAAGGTGAGTCCTCCTTGAGACTGAGGACTAGAAGCTTGAAACGCTGATGGGGCAGGAAGGGGGCCTCAGGGGAGGGACGCGGCAGAAACGTACAAAGGCCTCCCTTTGGTCAACAGGTTTATGGGGCTTCCAACGTAGAACTCATCACCCGGACGCGGACCGAACACCTTTCCGAGCAGCACAAAGGAAAAACTAAAGGTGAGACTCACTTCGCTCTCGACAAGAAAGCTGGATTTTTGCTGGCTGAATTATTCTGCCGTTTCAGTTTGTGACTTACAAGGGAACTGCAATCGCTCCTCCTATTTTTAATATTGGTTTAATTATTTAATAACTATAATTAGATGGATGATAGATAGATACATAGATAGATAGATAGATAGATAGATAGATAGATAGATAGATAGATAGATATGATTGATAGAGATAGAGAAAGAGATAGATGATACAGCTAGAGATAGATAGATAGATAGATAGATAGATAGATAGATAGATAGAT